ACAAAAAATATAAAATCTTAAGCTTGGTCATAACTTTACAATTAGAACAGGTATAGGGTTCTCAAATTACATTTGAAAATTGTCTGTGATAGACATTTATAAAGGTACTAATGAAGTTTTCTTTCTTTTCACAACTGCTATTTTTCCATGATTCCTTTTATTGAAAAGAGAAAGGGTGTTCATTTTTACATGTGATTAGCTATGACAAAATGTTTCTGAGAATGGTATGATTTTTGTCTCCTTGATCTGTACTTTCAGATTTTAACCTTATTTAAAAAAAATCGTTCGTGATTTATTTGGAATGACATATGATAGGGCTTTAATATTTGAATATTCTGCTGTAAATAAGGGCATCTAGTTTGTTTAAATTAGCTTGTAATGTATTGCATATACATGTATGCATATTAGTTTCCTCCCAGTTTTTTTCCTAATGACCAATGAATATTTTCTATACAAATATATATATTTTTAGAAGTAAATGCAACAAATAATTATCTTACTTGTGTTACTAAGCACGAAGAAGAACGACCGAGTATGAAAATTAAATTAGGTTAAAACAAAGAAGGAGGGTAGACTTCAATTTTTATTTTAATTAAGAATTTTACTTATGTATAATTAAACGGTGTCTGCAAGTATGTAGTAAGTAAGTAATATTAGTGCTAAATTTTAAAACCAATGGATTCTACTGACAGCAAAGAAACACTTGGGAAATGCTAAAAACTGACTTGTGTATAAACAGTTCGATACCTCGGACCTGCTCTAAACAAGTTTCAGCAACGCGTTATCGTTCATAACAGCGAACCCTAGAGGCAGTTGAAAGGCCTAATGTATACATGATATCCATTTCTCAAATTTTCATTCATAATCTAAATGGTACAGATACAGTTTAATTATATTCTTTATATAAAAGAAGACTAACGTTTTTAACGTAAAAAGTGTTCATAAAGGGCACATTACATTTGCAAAATAAACTTTTCAGTATTAAGGTGATTACTTTCCAAATAAGGAGTGTATTCGTTAATACCTTTCTACGTCGACACGATATATCCCGGTGAGCTGTTAATATAAGATACCACAAAATCTGACAAATATTATTCATATCTACATCTTTCACGAAAAAATAGAATTTCTCTTTTCAACTTCCCTTACTTATGTGGATATATATATTTACCTTTTTCACCTCCATACGGCGTTTATATTTCTCTGTTGATTCAATACGGACGAGCATGTTCTGTGTATAAACATTTTCTAAAACAAGGTAAGTAATTAAAAGCCAAGTTGATGAAGCAAGAATATCAGCAGTCTCGGTTGTAGTCGTCATTTCGTAACAATGACCTTGTCAGCAAATGCAATTTATCACTATATAAAATGCTGTTTTCTACAGATTTCCCCCATTATTTCCCGATCATGACAAGGAACGCACGGCGGGTGTGACCGGTCGGCAGGGGATGTTTTCTCCTACGTGGCACCTGATCCCACCTCTGATGTTTATTATGTCCAACTTTGCTCTGCTCTAATTTTCTGATGTTTAATGGATTCTAATCTCGAATACTGTTCGTTATTACCACAAATTGTATCGAAAGGATGATAAAGATATGACTCACTTCGGATGCTTATCTTTATTAGTTTCATTTCATTTTCATTTGCTTAGCTTTTAAAGTATTTTGATTTTTAATGCTTGACAGTTGAAATATTCTATGATTTCTTTTTATTTAAATTTGTTTCTCAGTTACCGTCACGGTCAATTATTGGTTTGTAATCAAATGAAATTTATTTCCCTTCAAAATAATAAACTTCACTGAATTTACAAGTTCGTGTGTATAATTCTAGCACAAAAATCTTTAATAAAGAACCGTAAAAAAAACCCTTAAAAAGCAGCTCCAATGCCAAAACGCTTACATAAGAAACTTTGACGATGATGTGCTTTACCATTCCCCCTTGTTATTTTTTTCTACCTTAAAAATGTAGAATTTGTTGCCATTTTTCCCCATAGTTTACTTCTCCACGTTTCCAAGTGCTTATAAAAGCGCCATACGACATATCATAATACAGAGAGTTACTCCAGCTGAGACAGCGATTTGCATTTTGCACTTACGTACATTTTTGTTCTCAGAAACATGTAAAAGTTAATGCGAAGCAAACCAGTTCAATTCAAATGAAGTACAACAAGCAAATTCAAAGAATTGTGATCCTTCCTCTTTGTTAGTCTTTGTGGATGAGATGTCATTATTATTGAACACCATTTCATATGTCATTCAAAGATAATCAAAAAAGTGGGCTGTTTTTAAAAGTTAGGTAAAAAATGTCATGGTCTTGGGATTAGAAATCAAAGAATGCTCTGGTATATATATACATGTATTGTCAAAGTAATGCACATATCAAATATAAAACCCTATCTTTTTTTTAAACATTATAAGGAAAATTAGTGTAGTTTAAACATGCAAATTCAGGGTCATGGAGTCAAATCCATAGGGTATTTAGAAAGGACTTGCCACATTATATATACGTGAAATGAAAAAAACCCTATCTCTTCCCTTTCAAAATTAATAACCATGGTTAAGGTTTTAAAAAGAATGTCAACTTATAGGTTAAAGCCATGAGATAAAAAATCATGTTTTTTTAAATGTTTTGTCACAGGTAATGCTTATATTTAAAATGAAAGCCCTATCTCTTTTCGTTTAAAAGTTATGGCCAATTTAAAGCTATGCATAATTTTTTAAACGAATGTCAAACTTCAGGGTAAAGATCACAGTATAAAAAATGTGGTGTATGTAGATAGATCTTGTCGCAGGAAATATACATGCATAATATGAAAGTCCTATCTCTTCCCACCAATAAGATATGACTGACAGACTTGCTGACTGGCATCTAGACGGACGAATATTTCATGTCTCCTCCCTTTCACAAAAGTTGGGATCTAAAAGAGAGCACGGGGTATAGATTTAAAAGAAAGTAATTTGTAATATGAAAGAGCTTTTTTTCTTGGCCTACAAATTTAAATCCTATACTTGTTGGTACTGCTTTTTATGTCATCTTTTGTTAAACCAATTATCGTGTGGAGAACACATTGAAATTTACCAAAGGCGTGTGTGTACTGGAGACAACTCCCAATATACTGATCATCAGCGGATTGACTCTCCATTGTCAAGCTCCACAGCACATTCCCCGGTCATAGACCGTGTTGGGTTAGCACCGTCTACTATCTCTCTTTTTGTTCGCTATCTCAATAGCCTTCTTTCAGAAGATATTAAATTTTCATTTCTTTACTTCTATAATGGAAACATACAAATCCGGAATAATAATATACATTGTATTTATGATGATTTGTGTTTATTATCTTGTTGCCACGAGTATTTCAAATTCAACTTTATAATGCGAAATATGAAAAGAGAAGTTTTTTAACGTCTATTTAGTATTTAATAGAGCTAAATATACAGTAGTTGGCCATAAGTATGTTCCCAAAATGGCCGACGTTTTCCGTAAACCTAAGTACATATCAAAAAGTAAAACCTAAATTTAATTATATGCAACAGCATAAAACTAACCTTTATGACTAGTACTTTGTGATGTGTCCCTTGGCTTTCAAAACTGCCCTAATTCGTTTGGGTAGACTTTGATATAAACTTCTTATATAGTGAAGCGGTAAAGAGGACCAGATTTCATGAACGATGCGTTCCAGGTCTGCTTTGTTTTTAATGTCATGTATGCGTCTCTTAATCCGAATTTTCAATACTCTCCAAACATTTTCTATTACATTAATATCTGGGCTCTGTGCAGGCCATGGTAATACTGGAATATTGTTTTGCGTTTTCCAATCGTTACAAACCCTAGAAACATGGCAAGGGGCATTATCCTCCTGGAAAATCCAGGCACCATTTCCGAAGTTTTTAGCAACGACAGGCCAGAGATTATTGTTCAGAGTTTCAATATAAACATTAGAGTTCATATTTCCTTCAACAGATGTAAGGGTACCCACACCATTGTATGCTATACACCCCCAGAACATCGCGGATATCACTCCCTGCCTCTCCCTGTCCAAATGTATTCCCGTACATTCCCCCATCAAACGTTCATCAGATTTCCTCCAAACATACATTTTCTTATCCTCAACTATTATAATTTTTGTCTCGTCACTAAAAATCACTCTACTCCAATTATTCTGCACATTCCAATGTAACTTTTGTCTACAAAATCCCATACGTCGAGAGCGATTCACTTTTCTGATCGTAATCGTTTTGGAAACAACATGTCGTTTGTATTCACTTTCAAATCATCTTCTTCTCACAGTCCTAGACGATATTTTAACAACTGCAGAATTGTTAAATTTACTTGTGAGATCCTCTAATGTTTGCCGACGATTGCCCCGAACCATGCGAACGAGTCGTCGTTTCGCCCTGTCATCAAGTTTTATTTGCCTGCCGCTTCGCGGTAAGTTTTCTGTGTTCCCCCGCTCACGAAAACGCTTTAAAAAATTACTAACTGTTCTCCTATTCAAGCCTGTTATTTCTGATATTTTGTAACTGGAATGATCGCTGTTTTATAAATTAATGATGATGTTTTTAACATCTTGTGTCAATTCCTTCCCTCGCTTACCCATATCTCTAAGCAGACGATATGTAAACAATAAACCGGAAATCAACTAAGGACGCTTATTTTAAAACCTCTACCACTACAAAAACTTTATTTCCGGATGTTTAGTTTCGAGAAAAAACGAATGTAATATTGCTAAAAAAGTTTTTAATCTCACAATTCTCAATGCGATTGAAGAACGTCGGCCATTTTGGGAACATACTTATGGCCAACTACTGTATGTATAAAACAGTAGGGATATATTTATATATGAAAGTAAATCACCTCAACTGACCGATTTTTGCTAAGATTTCTAAACCATAGCACGTTTCAAGTTACGTTCTCGAATCTGAAACTGTATTGAGATTAAAAACCTCTGAAATTTACATTTTGTACATACAAATATTGTTTGTTTTTTTTTCAATTTTTAGGATCTGTATTCACCAGATGGGGAAGAAACGATTGTACGAAGACTTCAACTCTTGTTTATAAAGGTTTTGAAAAAATAATTCTACACTATATCAATAATTTTTCTATTTAACTTTTTTTTGTGACAAAAATGTGAAAATAAATCTTTATTCTTTTTTGAATAAAAACAAAATTCCTTTCTTTAAATATGATTACAGGATATGCTGGAGGATCACATTACTCTCACAAAGGTGCAACATTGAACTTCCTCTGCCTCCCAGAAAATCCCCAATGGGGTGATCGGAAAGCAACCAAAGATCTGGCATTTGTTTATGGTACTGAATATGAAAGCACTCTTTTCGGGGGGAATGCTCATCAACAAGACGTCCCCTGCAGTGTATGTCAAGTTGAAAAAGGATCCTTTTCTATCATGATCCCTGCCAGAACAGCGTGTTATACAGGATGGACAATGCAGTATAAAGGATACCTCGGAGCTGGGTACCATAACCACAATGCTGCAACCGAGTATATCTGCGTTGACGAAAACATACAATTATTACCAGGGGGAATCGAAAATAAAGATGGAAAGCTCATTTATCCTGTAGTTTCAAAATGTGGGTCCTTACGGTGCCACCCTTATATCGATAATAAACCTCTTACGTGCATTGTGTGTTCCAAATAATTCTCTAAAGTATATCTCTGTGTATATTTCTGTATAAAAAATGTGTCGAATAAACATTCCATTTCATCCCAAACTGCCCCTACTTACATGTACGTTCAAATTGTTCTTTGCTATTTGTCTATTTTTAAATACAATAGGTAGCCACCAAATTATTCCCTGGATATATTCCCCTTCCCTCGTTTTTCATCTCAAATCTATCTGCTTTGTAGTGTTCTGACGTATCTTATTTGTTGACTTGATTACTGAGTATAGCATGTAAAGCAGATCTACATATAAAAAATCATCGAAATGTGCAAATTTTAAATAAAAAGGCACTTTTTATATAAAGTATATTATGTTGAAATAACATCAGAAGAGAAAAGTGGATTCCGGTAGGGGGCTTTTAACAGGTTGACCTACGTTTTATTCTATCTGTGTATGGCAAATTGTCAGATGTTTATATATTAAAACAGCATTGTTGTGTATTATATTATATTTTTGTATTATTATGTATTATTTACTTTTTATTTTCAAAATTATTATAATTGTTTACTATAAAGGAGTGGAACTGTGGACTGAAAAACACTTGACCTAGGGTCCCCCCCCCCCAGTTTAGACTCATTGAGAGTCATTGTATTATATGTTACATGTACTATTTGTTATCTTGTAAACTGATGGGCTGTATTTCCCAAAGTTATTTTCTGAATAAACTTTTACACTTTTGCTTATGCAATGAGTACTCTTACAACGCTTGTTTAGATATGTGGTTTTTTTTTTTTTTTTTTTACCTGAAAACTAATGTAATACGTAAACGAGAGAAGACTGGCCCCTTTCAAATCACATAGTTCACAGATTTAAAATATTTCAAATAATCTCAGAATAAAAATTATCTAGTTGATATGAATAAGCTGATTGAAGTCATTTAAATGTCTTCTTTTTAATTTGTTTATAATCGTTTTAAAAAGGGAACGTCACATCTTTCAACTGAGGTAAAATTAATATCTTTACATTGCAGAACATTTTATTTCTAAATTGACATAGTTCTTATTTTAAAAGGAACTCGTTTATTTGTTAACCTTATCATTAATAACCAATTCTCTTATCTTGATTAAAAAAACATTCTTCGTTTCTGATTTACAAATCTTTGTGGTTTTCGGAAACAAGCACTTCCAACAAGCTGTTGTATTTCCTCTGGGTACTAATCACACCCTGTAAAATGTATAAACAGACCTAAATTTGTGTTCATTTGAAGCAGATCTTTTAAACGAAGATTTAGATAAATCGACGAATTATTTTCAATAAACAATCCTTCTTTACATTCACATGTCAAACATTGCATATATCCCAGTGAACTTTAAATAATAATAAAAGAAATGTCAAAGAATCTGACAAATTTATCTTATATTTCGATATTTTACTTGAGAAGGCATTAAAATTAACTTAAAAACAAAGGTTTATGTAACCTAATGACATTAATTTTTCATTCGTCAACTTCCTTAACTAATTCAGCAATACAGTATTATCACAAGATCTGAAATGAGGAAAAAGATAATGAAAAATTGAAGATGTTAATGAATTAAGGAGTGAAGCTAATTTCAACTTATGTTATACGATATAACATAACTTGGGGCAGTTTACGCTTTATAAACCGCGAAGCGGTTTATAAATCAAAGTACTGAAAGTACTGAAAAGCGGTTAGCATGCTTGCATCGAATATGTACAGTGTACAATAACAAAAAAATGCATTGAATAATGATATTAAAGTAAGCATGCATATCTTTTTCCAATGTCATCAGCGAAGGAGCAGACACACTGAATTTTGTAGTACTTAACTAAATGGTAAAACCAATAACATCCCAGACTGATGTCACAAATGTTTGTTTCAAAATATCAACCTGAGATTTTCAGTTTGAAAGACAGGAAGTTCAATTTCAAAAATTTCTCCCTAATTGTCTACATTGGTGGTGTCCAAAAGTGCACAGAACGAAAAAAAAATTATGTTGATCTTGCAAATTTAATTGGCTTTCATGCTCTATTGATTCTGAAATTAGGTAACTGTAAAGGTACTATAGCAAACAACTCAAAAAGAAAATAAAATGATAATTCAAATTCTTTAGATTAATTGGTTTGGAGTACTGTACATAGGTCTTTAGCTGGCTAGTCTGAGAAAAACGGATGGACGAGCAGAGAATTAATTAATTTCAGAGAGCTTCAGTTTCGTAGGCTCACTGCGGGTCAGCAGGTGTGACCTGTCATTGAGGATGCTTACTTCTCCTAGGCACCGGAACTTTCAAGGATCTGTTTTTCTTTTGAGACCGATCACTGTTCATTTTGTATTTTGATACAGATACTGAGTACATCTGTTTATTAATATTATGAACTATTTCTCTCACAGGAAGAAAGACAAGTAAACAAGATAATAAAGTTTTAAGAAATGTACATTATTGACTTTTCATACAATTAAATGTTCGAATAAGTACTGTAAATGGTATATGACAATTATTTAAAAAAGAGTCTTGCACGATATGTATAAACGAACATATACTGAGTATTTGGCAAATATTTTTCATGAAATATTGTATAAAAAAAACGTGTGAAAAGGAAAGTTGTTGTTTAATCCATCAATACTAGTATTTCAAAAATTCAAAGGTTCACTAAAAGTCAGTGTATAACAAACAATTTAATTGTCCATTGCAAGAATTACCTAGGTATCATTGTCACTTTCTTCAATATTGCGCATAAGCAATACGTTGTTTTTTTTGTTTGTTTGTTTTTTTTATACTAAAAACAAGTATGCGAATTTCTATCAATATGCCTGTAAGCATCTGTATTTTAATTTTTATTTCTTCTCAAAGGCTCAAAATGATAATTAACAAATTGGACAAATTCAAATTTAAAAAGTATTTTTACAACTTATACCATGCACAGGAATTTAGCAAACTTTCAAAAATAATCATTCATTAGATATAATTTTCAATTTGTGCTGATTGTCAATATTTTTCATGCCTCTTTTTTCTGTGCATATTTTATATCGGGTGATTTTTAGAAAAGGATCGAATGCCGATTAAATTTTTTTCTCCATTTTTTTTAAAATTAATTTTAATATTTTCAATTATTTAATTATTTTTCTGTACAACTTACAGATGTATTCAGTATTTTTATATAAAGACTTTCTTTGTGTACTAGTATTACTTAAGTTAATTAAAGGGATGCCATAATATTTTGGAAAATGAAACTCGATCGAGAGATTCTCCGATGTTTTGCATTCGGTAATAACATTCAACCCCTTTAGCCAGTAAATAACCCGTCCTCCCTGTGCCCAGTAGCATAATTCGGTCAAATATTTATTGTTCATGAGGGGTGCCTTATAATTAATCACAGGCACCTGAATTTTTATCAGTAAGTCTCTAAATTAGCCAAATATCGAAACATTCTACCCCCTCTATATATAAATACACGAGTTGTGCACCACCTGTTCGATTCAGGCTTCAATTTAACACATAAATCGGATATGCCTACTGGTTTTCGTGCAACATTGGGTTCAAATATGATATTTCTCGCTATACATTTCTTCCTAAAGTTTAAATCTAACGCGTTGATAATGTTATCAGCTAAACTTCATGCTGATTTCGAATTTCGTCACAGGGCCCGATCGCCATCAGCTGATGTCACGGAAATTTAATCTCGACACCAAATGCTCCTATACATAAACTTTTTTTAATTCAACAGTTATAAATTTATTTCATTGACAAACAAAATCAGAAAAAAAAATTAAAAACCGAAAGATTATGTTGTTTTGATACTCTTGATTTTATTTAACATATGTTATATGTGTGAGAAACAAATCATAGGTACTAGGTAGAGGCTTTGTTGAAGTTTCCGTTGTCGATAGGTAGCGCCTTATGGAAGTTTCCGGTGTCGATAAAAATCGGACACATGCCATAAAGCGGTTAGCGAAGCTAACCGCTTAAAAAGCGTAAACTGCCCCAAGTTATGTTATATCGTATAACATAAGTTGAAATTAGCTTCATTCCTTATAATTTAATTTCAGTGTAGACATTCAGACAATTCCGAAAAAGGCCTTTAAATAAAGCATATTTTCAAAGTAACGTCAAGCGGAGTAATACGTTTTGACGTAACTCATTATGTTATAAAAAATATCATATGTTCCTCTGAATGATTCAGCCAATGAAATTGCTTGATACAAGTGAAATTAAAATATATAAGAATAGCTTATGTTTATTTTGAAATATAATCATGTCGTTAGTTTTATAGTTGAAAATATGAAATTGCCAGAAAATACGAACATAAAATTAAGTCGAATGCTGATTGACCGACACGGGGAGAGAGACAAGTCGACTGGAAATTCTCATACTGGATCTAACATCATCTAAATAGGAAATCACAAGATCCGGCAAAAGAAATTTTTTTGGATTATCAGAAATCAAGGGCATACATGAAACAGCGAAATCAATGTAAGCAAAGCAAGAAAATTTTGTATATTTTATAAATTAAATCCAATTCAATGAGTAATATTAGATCTGCGTCTCGAGAATTCATTCGTTGAACTCATGAAGTATAAAAAAAACTATATATATGACAATTCTTATACATGTGAACAAACACGACTTGAAAGCTTAGAATACGTTTTGAGTAGGATTAAAAAGATCTGTCACTATGAGGAAGCAATCACAAAAGTGTACTTTACGTTAGAAATTTGATATGAATATGGAAAACTTTCAGTTTTTAGAGCCTGACATAAAAATCGTATCGAAGGGGAAACAGTCTTAATTATTTTTTAAGTGTTTAAAACAAAATCGTCCATGGAGTTTCTGGTATGCTAGGAAAGATATTTTTACGCCTTAAGCTTATGTCTTTTTAAAGTCTGTATAGCTCAGTATTAGGCCCTTATAAAACCCGTGATATACATGTATTAAAACAATATGTAGTCCATAGAATAAACACTTGTGTATGGGGGATCTATACACATGAAAATTAAGTATCATTGATGAAAATCGGACGGTTAAGAAAAAAATATATTTACCAATTATAGTATATTCTTGTTATTGTTATAATTGAACTAATTGATAAGAACTAGCCGGAGTGATATATGTTTATTCACTGAATGTCTAAAACCTATATAAACAGTATAATTATCACACTCAATTAAGAGGCCCTCTGAGGGGTACAGGTAGACATTACCTGTGTTTCATGTGTTATCTTGATTTATCAGTCTAAATCAGATAAATTTATTTATTTTTCTGATAAAGAATATTACCAAATCACAATTTATTTGATTTACTTGATTAAATAACTATAATTCAAGACTCCAAACAAGTGTTTTTTTCATATAAATATTTTTCTTTCAGCACATTTCAGCACTACTTGAAATTATTAAATTGCTAGAAAATTTAATATTGACGCAATATATTTAAAGTGATAACAAGTTTATTATTTACAAATATTTAATTTTTAAAATACATAAAAACACTTTAAGCACTCTTCATTAAAATCACATTTTAAGAACTATCTAATATGTTTTAGCTCACCTGAGCCGAAGACTCAAGTGAGCTTTTCTGACCACATTTTGTCCGTCGTCCGTCCGCCCGGACGGACTGTCCGTCTGTCTGTCCGTCCGTCTGTAAACTTTTCACATTTTCGACTTCTTCTCAAGAACCATTGGGACAATTTTGAACAAACTTGGTACAAAGCATCCTTGGATAAAGGGAAATTTAAATTG